ACCCGCAACTTGGCGGGCCACGCGCTCGCGCGTACGCGCGTAGTTCCGGGCGGCGCCGCTACGCGGTGAAGGTCGAGCGAGCCAACCTGGAAGTAGAAAGCGGTCAAGCGGGGATATAAGGCGGACCCTCTGCGGAGAATTCGTATATTTGTTTTTAACAACTGAGTTTCAATTGCAGAAACACCGATTCAATAATTAATTGTGACTCATGATAACAGCAAATCCGACTTCACACTACATAAAATCAATTTACTTTTCATCTGCGAAATGATAAAATTTTTTATTAAAAGGGATTATTTTTACCTATAGATTGACTATGATAAATTCCAATTCAATTGCATTAAAACAGGTTTAATTATAACTTTATGAAATCGTATAATTTTGCATTGAGGTGGAGATATATCATCCAACATTAACCTCGCCTGAAGCGTACTAAATTCGATTTGACTATTTTTAATCGGTTTTAATACCGCATTTTCGGTGCAGAAATCCCGATTAATTCGGATTACATTTTATTTTAATCCGTTTTAATCGACCATTTTCGGCAGGGAAGCCAGGAATAAAAAAGACTTTAAGCATACACCTGTCTACGTCAATCTAGCCTATCTCATTCGCGACCGAGGTCTTTGCAAATGAAAAAGAAAGGCTTAAAGTAAGTACAAAAGACATTGAACTAAAAGAAAAATTACTTTTGTTACAATACAGTAAGTACCTGCAACTACTAACACCCCTTATATTCTCAAATTTTATTTCAGAATCAACAATTGCGACTGACAGCCCATTTATTGCAAACCATTACCTCAATTCCTATTCCATCATTTTCAATAATAAAAGAAACCCCTGTCAAGCATTAGCACGTTACTGACAGTTTCCTAATCAGTCAACTTTAATAATCCACGATTTATCTTCCTGCAATCACTTAAAACATTTCTGTTATTATTATTATCAATACTAGACGGATTTAGAATTTGCTTAGCGGCTATTCTACTGTTGTCATTCGGACGTGGTCCAACCTTTGATACCCGGTTGCCGAGCTTTATCGCCCGGCGACACTCTACCCCTTTTCCCGAATTTCCATCGTTGTCAAGCGTTGTTTGCTCGGATCGACACTCTCCCATCATCTCCCTATACGATTCCATCGTCCGTCGAGCATATACTGTGCCCTTGACGGCCATTGCCTGTCGAACACATTGTGCCCTTGACAGCTATCGTCTATCGAGCTCGTAGTGGGCCCTTGATTGACGCCTTCCATTATCTTACAACCTTCCAATAAAACCGACAACAGGAAATGAAATAAAATACGAAATATATCATCACTCAGATCTCACTCGGACATGGTCCAACCCTTGAAACCCGGTTACCGAGCTTTATTGCCCTGGTGACACTCTACCCTTTTTCCTGAATTTCTATCGTTATCGAGCATCAAAGTATGCCCTAGATCGGCACCTTCCCATCACCACCCTTTACAATTCCATCGTTATCGAGCATCGAAGTATGCCCTAGATCGGCATTTTTCCCATACTTTAGACCTTCCCTTTGAATTCTCATACAGCACAGAACATTGCAGCAACATTGCAGCAATATCGCAACATTGTAGCAAGATTGCGGCAATGTTGCAATGTTGCTGCAATGTTGCTGCAATGTTTTGTGCTGTATGGATTAAAATTTAGGATGGTAAGATCAGTAAGATCACTAGATCTTACTGAGTATTGATATTAATCAAAAACCTCTTTTCCATAAAAACCAAATTCCTTAATAAAATCATTTTAATTCCATCTAATTCCAATTTTTATAAATAATTGATATTTTTTCCTAATTTCTTCTCTTATTATAATATTCTTCTTTAACTTATTAATTATTTCTCTAACTCTTATTATTTAAAGCATTAAGCCCGTATCAGACTACGCATTGAAGATTGAAGATTGAAGATTAAAGATTGGAATTTGACTAATCAGAACAAAAGGGAATAAAATTCCTTTGTCTTGATTGGTCAAATTTCAATCTTCAATTTTCAATGCGTAGTCTGATATGGACTTTATATTACTCTTGAATCACATATGAATAATTGCGCATGCGTATATCCCTATATTTAACATCTAGTAAAAACCCCTAGTAAGGGTTAGGCCGATATTACATTTGTCGTACGACAAACTTTTTAAGCGCATTGATTAGCTAATTTCTAGAGACTCAAGAAAGTTTCTATTTTGCAGCCAATCAATATGCTTAAAAAGTTTGTCGTACAATAAATGTAATATCGGCCTTAAGGCCAATTTCACCAAGTCCGGTTAGATGAACCGACGGTTAAAATTAGCAGGGTGGCCAACAGAAAATAGAGGTGAAGGAAAACCAAGTATTCATGTTTTTTCAGTTGGAACCCTGCTAATTTGAACCGTCGGTTCATCTAACCGGACTTGGTGAAATTGGCCCTTAGTTCCGTGCTTAGAACATATATAAATGGAAGGGGAATAGCAGGCTCAAAAGTGTCGGAAGGAAGTGAGAAAGAAATCGTAATTGCTTCTCTCTTGGGAGTAACTACACATACAAGCATCGTGTCTGTAGTATACATACTTTTGTGTACACACACATGGCCGTGCATGCGCACTTTTGAGCAGAGTAACTCACAAGAGAGAGGCAACTATGATTTTCTTTCTTACTTCCTTCCGACATGTTTTTCTATCGGGAAACAAAGGCATTCCCTTTCCATTTATATATGTTCTAAGGTTCCGTGCCTTACGTCATTCCCCTAGAATCTACTAGATCAGTCCTAGCTTTCGGCGTCCCTGGGATATAGCCGGTGAAAGCAGGTTGCTTTCTTAGGGCCAATTTCACCAAGTCCGGTTAGATTAACCGACGGTTAAAATTAGCAGGGTTCCAACTGAAATGATAAGAAAACTTGGTTTTTTTTTACCTCTATTTTCTGTTGGCTACCCTGCTAATTTTAACCGTCGGTTAATCTAACTGGACTTGGTGAAATTGGCCCTTAGAACATATATGAATGGAAGGAGAATAGCAGGCTGAAAAGTGTCGAAGAAAGTGAGAAAGAAATTGTAGTTGCCTCTCTCTTGGGAGTAACTACACATGCAAGCATCGTGTCTGTAGTATACATACTTTTGTGTACACACACATGGCCGTGCATGCGCACTTTTGAGCAAAGTAACTCACAAGAGAGAGGCAACTATGATTTTCTTTCTCACTTCCT